CGCGGGGTCTTTTTGGATTCCGACTTTGCGTCTTGACACGCCACACGTGCCAAGTGCTTGGCGGCGGCGTTACCGGCCCTTGCCGCTAGGCCTAAAATAATTAAGTGAATCCCAAATCCGTCAAATAAAGCTCCAAGGAATACTCAACAATCAGCACCCACCAACTTCATCGGCAAGTTGCGCACGCGTGGAATCCATTCTGCCTTCCTTGTCAATCTTCTTCTCAAATGCCAGGATTGTATTAGGTACGGTACTACTCTCCTTTGCTTCTCGTCACACATGTAGTGCACCTGATGACGTTGCCCCGAACACAATCTGGCAGTTGTGTTGCCTCCGGTGGACTGTGCTTTCGCGCACTTGCGGGCAGCATGCGGCTGCCCAACCTCCCCCCTCGCTCCCACCCCCCAACAACCAACTCAATCCACCCCTAGCGGTACAAGCCCGGCTGGCACCGCTCCTCGGCCCTCAAAGCACGTTGCTTGTTGAGGCGCCTCAGGGAGTGGTATAAGCTTTTTCCCTGCGTGAAAGCGTGACAGCATCTGACGTTGAGCCCAGTGCACTTCCAGGGGAAGACGCGCATTGAGAGACTTCCTGGGATCTGGGTGCCAAGACTTAGTGCCTTCCTGTCCGGTTTCTTGTGTTTGGATCGAGTGGGCTTCATTCATGGCCATGCCAGTACAGTAGCGGATGCCAAATCAAAAACCTTCCTGCAGCCTCTCCAAGTCTATGCATCGGAGTACTGCTTGAATGCCAGTCAGCGTTCTAGAGGGTCCTACTGGCTCAGTGCTTGAAAGAGTAGAACATTTCTGCTTTAACGATGCAGAATCAAAGACAAAGTAATGCACTGGTCATCATAATTCCCCTACTTCAGGAAATCACATGAGGCGGCGTTGACTCTCTTTCCCTACAATTGTCGTCATCCACACAAACCCTCAGATCCGACGGTTTTGTCTGTTCAAACTCTTTACATGTCGGGCAACGCCGAAACATTTTCATACAATTCCTCGCTTCGGTGTTTGAAGTTGGCATAATGGTGAAACAGTTGTGAGATTAAAGAGGCTCCCTGCCTACATTCGCCCTGAGAGACAGCTCTGCTGGAATTGTGGGCGTCGGACTCTGAGCTAATTGAGGCTCCTCGACCTCTGTGACGGAGGATCCAAAAAAGAAGCTGCTCACTTCCTTCTTCACCTCTGGGTCGCCCTCTTTCGCTGCCAGGCCGCGGAAAGCAGCAGCAGCACCGCCTGCGCTGCTTGCAAGATCGAAACATCACCCTATCTGGCGGCAACACAAGGAAAAATGGCAACTTTCTAGGCCTTCATAGTAGGAGCTTCCGCTGGAAGACTCGCCTGATGAGGTCACGGAACTGTCCTCCTCCACTGCTGGATGCCTCATAACAGAAGCAGAATGAAGCAGATAATTGTCCCAAGGAGCCCTAAGGCAGATGTGACAACTGAGATCCCCGCTGGCCAGCCAAACCCTGCACTGGGTCGAAGCGGCCCGTGACTGAAAAGTGCTGCATGCCCCTCTCCTCTCTGCTCCAGGCATCACAGGACTCTGACTCATCCTCGCACTGATACCTTGCTTTCTTCTGTGATACCTTCCCAGTCAGGTGCTCATAAGTGGTTTTGTCCGAGATGCACAAGTAAGTATGAAACACCACCAGGGTGAGGTCCAGGAAGCAAAGCGGAATGTTCACTGTTGCAAGGACTGCGCTTGTGACCCAGAAGAACACACTGCCAAGGCCAAGCGCGTCCGTAGAGTATAAGGCAAATTCTGCCATTACCCATACCCCTGCAGTCGAGCTTACAGCGAGCATCACAAGAAGAGACCAAATGGATGCATAGAAATAGAAGTAGTTTCGTGTGCCAATGCATGTGTTAAGCCATGGGCAGTGATGATCAAAGTTTGAGACGCATTTGTTGCAATCATAGCAGTGCTTCGAATCCGTCCGCACGTAGGTGTCACATTTTTTGCAGTAGGCCCTGGCATCCATTTCTGGACGCTGCCCAGCTTCAGCCCGGGTCACGTTGACATCCATGGGGTCCACGGTCATGGTCCAAATGCCAAATACGGCCGTCAGCGCAAAGGAGATGCTGAAGATGATGCTAAGTATTACTTTAGAGGGCTCATTCAAAAGGGGGAAGAAAAAGAAGCCAAAAGCGACGGCGTTCCCGATGCACACAACGATCGTCACCACTTGTCGCTTGGATGGCGGACCTAAGCATACAAGCCCAATCGCGACCCAACTCGAGAGAAAGCAGCAAGGAAGGATTTCCACTGGGTACGTGACAGTCCCAAGCATTCCGCCGTCTCCGGAAGCTGGCATCTGTTCTCTCGGCTGAGGCCATAATCTCGAGCCCGGCTGCAGGCCAAACAACAGCAGAATAGCTAGCTACAACAAACACTGTTGGTCACCTACGCAACACTCATCTGTGTGCATACACAGTTCTTTTTTGCATGTTCACATCTTATACAATCCTTTACATACAATACGCATCGAGCGCAAATGTGAAGACCAATACGGAGCTGCGAGTGAGGTCAACGCGTGAGCTCTTCATCTGAAGGCAGCTTGTCGTTGTTGAGGGCCTGGCTTTTAGTTGTCTGATCTGAAGACCAAACTGGGCTCAGCACAACCGAGCCACGGACTTGGCGAGCTAGGTGCTTAACACACACCAGCCTGCGATCAGTAGTGATGCTGACTGTGCGAATATAGCTCATGCAGCACAACTCCTGAGGTCCCTTCAAGGGTCAAAAGGCATGACCATGACATGCGGCGGCCTCGGTCTACCTCTTCCCGAAGCGATGCCAAATGCAATTGCCTCCGTGGTCATTGCAAGGTGTTGGAAACATGGGGTGCAAGGGATGGTGGCTTGTTTTTGCTTTGCAAACAGCCATGGCAAGAAAAGAAATTCCAAGTGCCTTACCCATACACCTGGGTTTTTCGGCACTCTGGGCCCCAGTCTGCGATCACATGGGACTTCGCGTGAGTTGCACATCTGCCTCACCAAATGAAATCACCACGCCCGCCATGAGCGCAAGCAAGGGGAGCAAGCAGAGCAATAGGGCACGGCCATGTCAACGTGCTTTTACTTCCTTTAGGCATCAGTCCTTGGAAGCAAGCTCCGTTTGGAGTATGCATCTTCGTGTCTTTGCTAGCTGCCACTGAAACAGGCATTCCTGGGAACTTCAACAGCTGGCAGCCGCCTACGCATCAATTTCCAGCTAAAGGGCCTGCTCGGCTTCTATAGCTATACACAATACCGATGGCGTAGGTGTTGCCGATCATTAGCTCTACGCATATTCAAGAACTCTCACAACTCCTTCGAAGCTGGGAGCAAGCTAAGGAAGATGGATGTAACTCATGCAACCACAAAGAGGTTGGAACCTCTTCACAAGATTTTGCGAAGAATTGACCACATCATTTCAGCCAGGGATGCTGCATCGCCTCTGTAGCAGAGCCAAAGCGCTCTGCCGTGTCGAATGCCAGAAGCCGCTGGCAAAAGTCTTTACTATGGGGAATCTCTGTGAAGGTCCCGTGGCTCCAGTCGACGGAATGGTTTTGCATCTCCATGACAACGTTTTCCATCCAGCGCCGATTTGCAGCCGGTGACTTCGGACTCTGGTCTGGAAACTCAAAGAAGTCAGCAGGGTAAGGCATAGTTCCAGTGAGCAACAAATAAACTATTACGCCAACACTGTACAAGTCGGTGGCAGCAGAATACATGCCTAAGAAAGCCTCTGGTGCATTGAACCGAGCCGTGCCGTAGCAATGCCTGGCAAGATTCTTTGCAGTTTGCGGATTGAACTCCGCATCTGCATGATCGAAGTCGATGAGGGCTACCTTCTGCATCTTGTTGCCAGTGGACGGGTCATCCTGCATGTGCATGACCAAGTTGTCAGGTTTGATGTCTCTATGAAGAATTCCTTCTTTATGAAGATGGCACAGCGTCGCCAAGATGTCTCTTGCAACGTTGGAAACCGCGAAGGGCGGCATGTTTCCATCTTTGTACTCCTGCAATTGCTGGAGCAACAGCGCAGCGCATTTAGAATTACTGCGTTGCAGCTTGCCGTGAGCACTCTGCCGAGCTATGGTGGCTTCTGAACATTACATGGAAGACAGGAGATTAAGCCCTGGCAGCTCGCGAACACACATGCGTACTGGGTGTGATCAGACAGGAAGCCATGAAGGAGTTGAATGGATTGTGGTTTCAGGAGCTATGCACTGGAACAGGTCGCGGCTTCGTCAATGATCGCCTTGCGCTTTCAGATTGGGCCGGGCCAGGGAAATCACGTAGAGGTCTAGAGACTGCAGAACAGGACATGCAAAACTTTCTGCCTTGAGTACATACGCGCTTTCACGCTGGTGGTGCTTGCAAAGCTTATGTGCAAAATTTCTACCCGTAAGCGAGCGCACATGCCTTTAGATGAAATGTTGCAATGTCGAGATGCCTGCCATACAAGCACACCCTTCCAACTTTCAGAGCACAGGCATCTGCAGCAAGCAGCTCATGATCAATGTGGCCCTCCCGCGTCCTGAAGCAAGCATTCAAAAAATGGGCCTCCAGAAGCTCTGTCCATGACAACATAGTAGAAAGTCTCATCCTCTAAAACCTCCCTGAGGCGTATGACGCCTGGATGCGGCGGAAAATTCAGGAGCCTTGTCTGTGCTCGCACGAACTCTTCTTCGTGTAAGTCTTCGCGAAGAGATTCTTTGCTTTTGATTTTCATCACAAAATTAAAATTCTCATCCTGCTGGGCCTTTGGCCGGCAAACCACCACCTTACCGCCGTCGCCCTCTTGCTGTAGGACTTTCTCCCAATAGTAGAGGTCGAAAATCTTCTCACCGTCCTCAAGCTGGCGGATTGTTTTCAATGGCGCTGGTGCCGCTGCAGGCTCCGAGAGTGAGGCGCTTGAGGCCGTTGCCTGTAAGCGACGGGCGTGAAAGCCTCGGCCAGCCCAGGTCCTGCTGAAGCCTCTTGAGACACCCGTAGGCGAAGTAGGGCTAGATGGGCTTGATGGGCTTCCATCCTCCGATTTTGACTTAGGCTCCGCGACTTTTTTCGTAGGAGATAACAAACTCAGCAGCTGCTCCTGAGGAGTTACTGGCCGCATAGTCATCATTGCGTCAGCTTCGCGTTGCTTGTCAATGGCGGACTCCCGTACTTGCCATAAGGCCTCATTCAGCTCGAGCTTTGGACTGGGTCGTGGCAAGGCCTGCAATGCCGGAGTTATCTGAACAGCAGGCGGGTTGCCCTGGTTGCCCAGGTTGCTGGGGCCAGAGCCCTCCTGGGCCCGCTCCCCTTCCTCGCCCCGACGATCCCTTTCGGAACTCGCCCAGGTGCGGAGCCTTCGCGATCTCCCAGGCCTCCCGAGCTGCGGCAAGGAGAGTTGGGAGGGTTCGGATGGTTCAGCTGGCTTGGGTGATGCTGAGCTCCGAGGTGTGGACGTGAAGGTAAAGGATTGGCTTGTTCGAAGTTCCCGAGCCCTCACTGACCCTCGTGAAGGTGTCCGCGAAGATGTAGTACTTCCCCTACTTGTAGGCCGGGTTTCTGGTGTTGGAACCGTCAATGTGCAGGTCTGGGAACGCTTTACCGGCATAGGCGGCATCGCATAAATAAAGCCGTCGCGGCCATGGCCACCTCCTACTCTTTCGGGCCAGCATGGCGGGCAAATGCCGTCATTCCATGCAACACTCCATGCGCCTGTCAGCACAAACACGACATGCAAGCATGAAACGCTTCCATCCCTCAGCCTACGTGAAGTCGGTCATGTGACCTCGATGTCACCTTCAAACAGGCACATAAGTGTAGCGATAGACTAGGGGGAAGCAGCAGGAAATAACTTGCCGCTGCATGGTGCTGGTCATGTCAGACGATACGAGCTGCTGGCTTTGAGCTCTTTTGAGCAAGGCCACAATCTGGACGATGGGTGTCGCAAGATCATACCGTTCTAGGAGAACTCCATGTTTATGTTCGGGTCAAGCCCTGCCTGCTTTTCTCTTCCTGGCATACTACTTACTGGAAGCTAAAGCAAGAGTCATAGAAACATGTGACCAAAAATTAAACAACGAACAACTGTGCAGCATTTCCAGCAGACATGAACCAGATTCTCTAAGAAACAGCCTTGAGTCCAACTCAGCGCACGCTGCACAAAGTGAGTGCTTTCAATGCTTTCAACACGATCTGCATGCTCACACGACCACAAGTATAGCTGGGCTAGCTCTGACCAGACGTCTCTTTGATTTTCCGCATGCCAGACGCTTTGCGGCCAATTGTGAACGATGTGCAGAGCATGTTCTTCATGCCTTGGTCGTACTCATGGCAGGTGGCGGATGCTGTCTTCAAAGGCCGCCAGGCAGAACGCAACAGCAGGTGGCTTCAACTTGTCTTGTGACAATGGCGCTTCACCAGCCAGCACGCTGCACAGCTTTTTCAAGCATTGCGAGGTGCATGGGCCCTGAGGGCAAGCGTCTCGAGCTTGAGCGTCTCTTGTTATCCAACGCCTGAAGGTTCACGCTTGCAGCGCGCGGTTGCTGTCAGAAATGGAGCAGGCAGCTCCGCGATGGGACAGGTGAGCCCCAGTAGAGGGAGAAAAGACAAGTGCGAGATTGGTGGCGTTCGCTGCTCTTGCTGTCTTCTCTGCCCTTGCGTCAATCCAGTGGGATGCAAACAAGACTAGCTCGGGGGTATTCGAACCCCTCTCGTCATCTCAAGTCGCACAACTTATTGAAACGATCTGCTTCTCGACCTGCTGTTGCGACCGAAGGGCCTGGGATTCCTATGATGGATGGCTTGCCCTCAAGACGGTGCACGGATCACTGAGGAGGGCGACCTCCTCAAACTCCGAAAAACAAAGCACACTAACACAGCCCTGCAATCTGCAATGGCTCAGCGCTCGATGAGCATGAATGCATCGCATCGGAGCAGCTGTCTCCCTCTGTCGGACGGGGGCAAACTGTTGATCGAACATGCAGTTGTGGTGCCACCTGGCGACTTTGGCCTTGCCCAGCGCAACTCCTTGAGGCTTAAGGTTCGCGTCTAATGTTGTAGCGCAGCTGCAGCACCGCAGCGTTGACTACGCCAAGAACCCCAAGCCGGGACAGCCACCAATTTCAACATTGGGGCTCTCAAGCAGCGCCTACCCTGCTGAAAAGCATGATGTAATGGGCTATGAGCAGGACACAGCTGGGGAAGCCACGAAGCGTTCCAAGCCAGATCTTTGGGTCTGCATAGGAATATGCTCAGGTTGCTCGGCTCTATCCAAAAAGTTAAAAGTTCCAAACATAAGATTTCCATCAGAATCTGCATTGCAGCCATGCCTTTCAGGCTCTGTCAGCCGAAGCTTCTTGGGAGCTGCATGCCCCCCACCAAGGTTGACTGCGTCCACGGAATGCATGCATAGGAGGGCCATCACGGCTTATGATTGCATGAAAGCCTCCGCTTGATCAGCACTCGCTTCGTCAAGGTCTGAAGCTCAAGGAAAGCCAGCGCATCGCAGTGCAGTGATTCGCCGTCCACGGCTGACTTGTTGTGGCTGACGCATGACCTGACGCAGGTACGGTTGGGCTAACGCTTCCCAACAACACTGGCGCTCGCCCTGGGGTTGGAGCACATGCTAGAGCAGCACTGGCTTGCAGAACCTCTGCTCTGGCAAACTGTGTGCCGTAAGTGCACTACCGGCAAGCGTTGAACAAGCCATTCCTCACAGCGTGCCTCCTGGTGGAGGTCACATGCTGCTTGGTTGCCATGGGTCGCACCATTACCTTGAGCAGTGGCCTTCCCAGGTGCCTAGGCCTCTGGCCAGAAACGGGTTGTCGTCTGCACGTAGGGCGCGCAGGAGTCCAGGTAGTGGACACGGTCACACGGTGCAGGCAGACCTGCTAAGTAAAGTCATGCCAAGGCCAAGGCGCAAAGTGTGCTCAGGCTTAGCAAAGTGATGCAGAGCGATGCAGCTGCGGCAGCTGCAGGTTCTTCGGGATCTCAGAGAGCCTTTGCAGGGCTTCCGTCCTGGCAGCGACGGTGACAGTGTCAGCCGCCTCGTACTGCGAGCCTTCTGAACCAAGATGGGTGGCTCCTTGTGCTTGGTGAAGGTGCGATGCTGTGCAAGGGTCATGGCAGCCCTAGCGTTGCTTCCAAGAATTTTGAGTCGGGGAAGCTGTGTCAAGCCACAAACATTTGCTGGCCAAAGCAGGCTGCAGCCCATGTTCTCCATATTCTCTTTTTCTTCGTCGAATAGTTGCGGCTGGCAGTGCTGCTTAGTTCACATACAGGCTGATGGCTGGACTTAGCTTGGCCCAAGGTGCCAAGGCCTAGTAGCTCCAAAGAGAGCAGCCTCGACACACACCTCCACAAACGACGGTGTGTTCAGCTTGAACGCTTCAGAATGAAGACCCTGGCCAGAGGATTTTGAGAAGAGGCCAAGCTGAACATGCACCCCGACTTGCGACTGGACCGAAGCTGTTACGCAGCTGCCGCACTCGCTATCTGCCGCCGAACCTGCACGACAACGACGAACCGCGCGCGACGGAAAAAAGTACTTGAAAATCTGGCCGCCCTGGCCCTATGCGTCCTGGACTTGGTGTGAATCAAGGCACGGTTAACTGGAACAGAAGAGATGGCTTGCTGTTTCACAGGGCTTGACAGGGCCAGTGGCAGAGAGCGTGGGGAGCGCAAGCGCGACAGGCAGGCATGGCACTGACAGGCACAGGTGCTGGCAGGTGTTTGCAAGACGTTCAGTCGGACTTGCCTGGCTGGGTCTAGGTCTAAGCTTTTTCAACGCTGGCCTTTGGGCATTTGCTGATGCTACCTGCAAGATTGAAAAGGACTACAGGCCATCCACGAAGCTCTGGCACTTCATGCCCTTCTTAGCAGTTGAGTGCTGGGTGCTCTCCCACTATCAGGCCATCTACAAGCAGCAGCGCTGGCAGAATGGAATGCTTGTGTGATTGAGCCCTTGATGACTGGCAATGCCCAAATCGAACTTGTCAGGTAAAGCTCAAGAAGTGGCATGCTTTGCTTTGTGATGCCCTGCCCGTCCAACATCACAGCTTGTATGAACGCTTGCTCCGCCGTAAGCTGCAAGCGATCCGCATCCGGCGCCTGCTACTAAGGCGGCTTCCAACAGGCACACAGGGAGTTGCTGGAGCTGCTATCCTGGCAAAACTGCGGCAACCTGTCATACAGACTTGTTACCAGCAGCATTTGTAGATCGGGTCAACGAAGCGTCAAGCACAAAATGTAAACTGCACTTCGTGCTATTGCCTTCTGAGTCTCACTTGGGTGGTGTGTGAGCAGCAGGCTTGACGAAATCCACAGGCACCGTTGGGAGAGACGCGCATGCCTATGAGCCGGTGCGTGCTGACAGAGACATATCCAACCAACTGCTTGAACTTAGTGATTCATCGGGCATGCTCGACGACTACAACTGCAAACGAAACTTCCAGAACAAGCAGGCAGACTGCAAAACTGTATGCAGCGATGCTTGATCTGTGGCATCTCCTGAGACACGGCCCTCAGCGATGCTTGACAAACCAGTAGGCGTGGCCAGTGCTGCACAAACTTAGGCTGCCTTGCATGAGATAAAGTTATGCAAGCTGGAACCATGCCTGGACGCAAGTGTGGCAAGAAAGGCCATGCCTGAGTGCAGTCAGAACGCCGCAATGCGCCTTGTAAGAATGATTTATCGCAGCAAGGGCTTTAGCTCTCGGCACTATCGGCGCTATCGGCGCTGTGAAGGCACGGGCCGGCTGAGCTCTGATGCAAGCGAAGGCTGTGAAGCCCCACAAGCCGTAGAGGCCTTTGCAGTGCAAGCTGTGCAAGCTGAGCTGGCCCAGGTTGCAAGCTTCACGAGTGTCACAACTTCGCGGTGGCCATGGCGAGCGCTTGTGCAGATATTCCCGTGCAAGTTGGCTTGCAATAGCGGGTCACTTCATCAAATCTTCGGAATTGCTGGGCTGACTTGAACATGAGGTGCTTCACGAAGCCTAGGCCTAGGCTGACAAGTCGCAACCGCCGCCACAAAATGGACACCCAACTTCATGCCACGTTCAGGCAGCATGGTCAAGGTTCCCGCGGAACGCTGTTGGCAAGGGCGGGGTAGTTGCTGCACAGTGCAAGCTAAACGCTGGCTACCACCAAGTGCCTCAGTCTATCTTGCGAAGGTACAGGGCTCCGGAGGCTGCAGCGGATCAGGCACGTGACAGGGGCTTTGAAGCACAGGGAAGATGTCCGAAGACAGACCAACGGTCAGCAACGGACATGGCACCGTGCAAGTGCAGCAGCAAGAGGTGCAGTGCAATGCTATTTTCGCGACATCCAGCAGAGGGCCACTCACCTGCGCAGGCAGCATGGGTCGGCAACAATCTGG